GGTCAATGATTTACTGGTTGCCTCAGATTGCAGAAAAGTCTGTGTGAGTGTAGCTTTTTAATGGACAAGTTTGGTATAGACAGACTTGTTCTTGCCCAGTTTAGGTCTTACTTGATAGACTGCTACAAATTCGTCACAGTGAATGGGGAGTTTTCAAATCGTAGAAGAATTCAGCATGGTGTCCCTCAAGGCTGTGTTTCAGGGCCTTTACATTTACTGTTACATTTGCTGTTTACATTTACTGTTTACATTTACTGTTTACATTTACAATGCAGTATGTCTTCAATCATACATACTTCAGTAAAGTAAAGAAAAATGCCACAGACTTTGTTCTGATTGGTCCAAAGTGAAATTTTATGTAGGTGAACATCTAAGATTGCTAATAATTTGGATAGATTTCGGATCAGCTAAATTTCTCAGTTTCTGGACATTCAATATGTTGTCTAAATAATATTTTAAAATAAATATAAGGTTTAAATTATTTGCACATCACTGCATTGCCTAGCATCCCAACTATTTTGGAAAAGAGGTTATAAGAACATTCCAATCTGTATATCAACGAATGTTCTTCTGAACTACGATTAAGCACAAAATAAGTTAAACTTCTTTGCTGTAGGAGATTCACTCTATTATTTTGAGTTGAATTGTCTTTGAGGCAGCTAGACTGGAGATTGTGTTTTTTTGTGTTTTTGTTGTTTGGTGGGACCATGCAGTGTACTCTCACCTTTACCTGTTGGAGGTGAATTAATGGGGAAGAGTCTGTCTATCGCAGAGGTGTTCCAGGACCCTACCATGCTCCCAGCATGCACTGGGGCATAACTAAGAGAGGACTCTTTATCCTTACTACTTTTTGTTATTCTGGTTTGTCACAATTTAGAACTCAGTGTGGAGCTCTCACACCTTCTCTCTCTCACCTGTTCTTAATTCCTTTTACTGACATGATCATACTTATCAGTGGTTGAACCTCTATGTTAATGCTAAGTGTTTCACATGAACCTTTTTGGCTGTTCAAAATTAAACGTGAACTAACCATTGCTAACTTCTGGCTGAAATCCATTGGTCAGGATACCACTTATATACGTTTATATCTAGGACCCCCAGGAGACCCAGAGTAACTTTTCCTTTGTTAGAAATTGATTCCACCTATTGGAAATCAAAAGTAGTTAGTAGTAGTTAGTAGTTAATCTGGTACATTAGGCCTTCTGTTCAGCTCCTGAAGTCCTAACGAATGGGAGAGATTTAACCTTTTTTCCATCCAAAATGTAATAATGAAATTAGAGTAGTACTAAAATACTTGCAGACTTTAAATACATAAAAACAAACATATACATAAATATAATATTTTCCTGTAGGACTGCAGCTCAAGATTTAACATAAATTTGTGCAAATTGCAAAAGCATAAATGAAAAAAAAAAAACCAGTAAAACAGCTTAAAGCTAAAGTGAAAAAATAAATAAATTAAAAAAAAAATATATATATATATATTTTTTTAGAGGTCAGATGAAGGTTCCAGGTAAAGATCTGAGCAGGTAAAGAACTCCAGATCTTTGCAGCATAAACACAAAAGGTGCTTCTCCACTTTTTTTATGTTTTACTTCAGACATTTCCTGCAAATGATGAAGAGATTTCGAATAAAATCAGTCAGGCGATGTGGAATGGATGAAGGTGGCAAAAGATTTAGAGCTTTAAAAAGAAACAGAAGAACTTTTAAATCAATTCTAGAAGACACGAGTGAGCAGGATGATGATGCAAGAAGAGAACACAGCTTGTGTTGGTCTCGAGTGATTATTCTTAAAGGCAATACTGCTGTTGCTCTACTTTGCTTTGGTGAGATGTAATCTTTAGAGGTTTGCTTCAGTGAAGTTTAATCTAACCCATCTGATCCGGCTAATCCAAGATTTAAGGATCGTCTGAATATTGCACATGAAGGATGTGTTAGATTAGAGCCTCCAATAGCATGGAGCTAAATTCTGAGCCTAATGTCGATACAGCTGCCTGTGATCATTTCACTTTGGTGCAAACAATCATGGAAAACTAGAGAACCTGGACATAAAAAACAAATCTGTAACATTATTTAAAGCGTTATCACAAAAATCACAAAATATAACAAATAAAATAAAGACAGTGAGAATTACAGAACAGTAACCACAACGGAGGCCAAAATCTCTCAAAATCCTCTGCCATACCCAACATTCCCCCACACTGTTAGAAAAAAGGTACTGTACAGGTAACTTTGTATGTAACTTTGTCAAGTTACAAACAATGTAAATGTACCATCAAGAGTAAAACAATGGTCTTTAGGTCCAACTGCACACCTTAACCCCTTACAATCCCAGGCTTATTAAAAACTAAGGCTTGTTATTCTATTGATTGTTGGTGATCTATATGGTTTCTGCTTTGCATAGTAGAGTCTTAACTTCCATTTGTAGATGTAGCAACGAACTGTATTTACTGTCAAGGGTTATCTTAAGTATTCCGAAGCCCATAAGAGTATATGCATTACAGAAGTATGTCAGTTTTTAATGCTGTGCCATCTGAGGGATTGAAGGTCACAAGCATTCAATATTAGTTTTTGTCTTTGCCCTTTATGAACAGAGAATTCTCCAGATTCTCTGAATCTTTTAATAGTAATATACAGTATAGATGGTAAAAATCCCTTAATTCTTTGCAGTCATGCACTGAGTAATGGTGTTCTTAAACTGTTGGACTTTTTGCTCATGCAGTTTTTCAAAAGTAAGCCTTTTCTGAATACTACTTTCATACCCAATCACGATAGCATCATCTGTTACCTATTCACCAGTTTACTTGTGGAAAGTTCCAAAACAGGTCTTTGTAATCATTCCACAAACTTCCCAGCCTTTAATTCCTTCTGTCTTAACTTTTGTGGAATGTGTTGCAGGCATCAAATTTGGAATTTGCATATATTTACAAAAATCAAAGGTAAAATATTAACCTTTTTAACTCATTGGGACCACCGGTGGTTCCAAAACACACTTTGTCATATTCTTCATAACTTTCATATTTCATAAGCGACATTCAAAAGGTGGGTGTCATATGAGAGCTGTAACTGTCTTCTTTCCAGTCAAATAGATGGGTAATGTAATTTTAAACCCATCTAATAAAAGAATGAATGAATGACTGAATTCACAATTTATCTGTCTACTTTTGTGGAACTGGCTTTCTCTGTGCCCAATATATTGGTTATAAATATATTTAAAAAGTGGTTTCACTAGTTTTGTTGGTTACACTGACACAAGGTTATGCTGTCCTACATGCTGCTGTCCGCAGCCCTGGTGCTGAACAGTGAGCTGCTGTTCGTGGTGCTGATGCTCTTCTTCAGAGAAGCCTGGAGTGAAGCTGGTTCACATGGGGTCAAGCAGCACTATGTCAATTTTTATCAGCTGCAGCAGGGGGTCTCTATTAGTGGAAATGTGTTAAAATATTCAGTGTTTTTATAAGCTGAGTAATGTTTTAGAATACGAATACACGTGTACATATGTGGTAGTAGAGATATGGTAAAGATAGACTGGACTGGAAAAATGATGAATTACTCATGCACACACTCACGCACATGCACACACATGTCCCCTCTATATGACTTTCGGTGAGACTGCTTGCAGTGTGTGACTGTTTTGTCCAAACCAGCATGAAACAGATATGTAATCTTGTTCATGCAGATTTCACCAGACTGTGGTTCAGATGAGCTCTGTGGGTCCATCACAGAGGAACCAAGCTCTCAACAGCAGGAGCGGATAGCTATGTAAGATAAAGGACATATTGAAAAGATTTTATTTGAATATTTCTCTATACAGTTCAGCCAAAAATCCTGCACTATGGCCAAATGTATGTGGACATCCCTGCTTATTATTAATTTCAGGTTATTCCACTACACCCATTGCTACCTGTTGTATAAATACATAGCCATGCAATTGCCATATGACAAACATTGGCAGTAGAATGGGTCGTACTGACAAGCTCAGTGACAAACAGAGCCAGTCCACCAAGTGTTAAAGAGTGTAGCATGTAATAAATGACTGTCCTCTGTTGCATCCCTCACTACTGAGTTTCAGACTGCCTCTAAAAGCAACATCAGCACAAGAACTGTGCATCAGGAGCTTCATGAAATGGGTATCCATGGCCAAGCAGCTGCACACAAACCTGAGATCACTATGTGCAATGCCAAGCTTTGGCTGGAGTGGTGTAAAACACTCTGCAAGTACATAATGCCAACAGTAAAGTTTAGTGGAAGAAGGATAATAGTCTGGAGCTGTTTTTCAGGGTTTGGAATAGGTCAAATAGTTCCAGTGAAGGCTAATGTTAATACTGCAGCATACAAAGATATTTTAGACAGTTATAGGATTACAATTTTGTGGCAGCGGTTTGGGGAAGGGTTTTTTTTTTTGTTCCAGCATGACTTTGCACCTGAAACCACATAAGATTTTATTAATTATTAGCTACTTTAGCCTCATAGCTCTAGTGCAGAACTTAAAGAGCAAACTTTGGGCACCAAACCACATGTCTTAGCCAATGGACTTCATTTGGTGTAAGGTGAATAAAATGTGCAATTTTTGCCGAACTTTAAAGCTGTATAGCTGTAACGATTGACTAAAGTCCCAATTACTTGTCTCCCCTCCAGGAATGGAGGTTATTCAAGATTCTGTCCCCATATCTCCCCCTTAAAATAACTTCTGACAAGACTTTAATGAGAGATAAAACCAAGCACTGGCCTGCAGTGTAGTGACAATGACAAAAAGCTAATTCTCTGTTTAATCTGATTTTGGGAATTCCATTGCTTTCAGAAAGTTCTGATGAATAGAGAATAATTCTCTTGAATTATTTATTCAGGTCACAAAAGGACAGACAAAAAACGATTCTGACAGATTGCTTTAATCAGTGCCAGTGGTTTCTCTCAAGGAACGTCTCGCTATCTTTCTCTTTTTGCCCTTTCTTATTTCTTTCTTTCCCTTATTGTTAGTCTCACTTGTCTCATTTCCCTCCAGCGTTTAAGGCCTTCCTGGGTAAGACGGATGTTTCTGCTGAGCTGGAGGAGGTGCATGCGGAGAGCAGGGCTCAGAACACACTGCAGATGGCTTCAGCTCTGGAGCTTTTCAGGAACAGAGCCGTGCGTTGGCAAACCATCACTGTCATTGTCACCATGGCCTGCTACCAGCTATGTGGCCTCAATGCCGTGAGTGTGCACACTTTCATACTCATACTTTGTGATTTCAAGCAGCCAAATACTACAAAGGCAAATAGCATTGTTTACCTAGAACCATCACACTGCCATTTACCCACCAGGCAGCGTGGTATGATCACAAATCTGTGATGATGAAATTATTGTCATTTTCACTGGCAAGTAAACCATACCTTACCAGAGTACCCATACGGAAATTGTTTACCCATCACATTACCTTTCTTGCTGGGGTTTAATGTTTGGCATAGCCACAGATTAACCTACTCAATCAAATGGGGACAGAATGTTTCTTAAGCTGTATTTTTTAAGATAATGAAATTTGTTTTTGTGAGTGCTGTCACTGTATTATGACATGCTCTGCTAAGCTCTACCTTATTTCCTCAGCTGTCCAATCACTGTTTAGTAATTGTTGCTATCTACTATTGCCTCAGGCTTTCAGTTCATTATCTGCCTGCCAGTGTTTGAAATTGAAACTATAGCTGTGGTCAAAAGATGTACCTGGGGAAGATGTAAAAGTTAGACCCCATCCCCAGTTTTTTACATTTAATGAAGTCATTGTTGTCACTGTTCTTTAAATTTAGGTACCTATGCTTTCTTACTACAAATGCTAAAATAGGTTGTGTCAAAATACCAAAATAAAACTCTGCTTCAATGTATTGAGTCATCAAAGGCAAGATATAAATGGTCCTTAAACATTTTTCATGCCTGCTGTGGCAGTATGCTTTAGCATAGGATGATTAGCTTTGGGTTATTAGGTTTCTCCTATCTTTGTGTACTTCAGCTGTCTGATTTCGGTTATGTTGTTTTCTTTTGTCCAAAAGATGTGCCTGTGGTGAGTGGGTGCAAGCTTTCTAAAGAAACATTGCAAAGTTTTATTTAAAAAAAAAAAAAAAATCAGCATTCTGGTTGATATGTACATAGTTTTGCTATTGTTTCATAACACCATAGTGCGGAAGCATTGGAACGGGTAGGATGATGACTACACTGCAGTCAGCAATAGGCTATAGCTTGATATTATGACATTGCAGGACATTAGCACACTTGGAAATTGTGTCTACCAACTTGGCCTTGCTCTGTTAACATACTATTACAAGTTCAAATTTTTAAGGCAACCACTTACTTTTTAAGTCAAAACATCAAATCATTTTTACAGTATGCTGCGATCAGTGCTGTGTTTTGCTTTCAAATGATACTTCAGACTCAGTGTACTTTGCTGATGTACAAATTCACAGCATTGAAGTAGCTCCAAGCAACTTGTTTCATCAAAAGAATAATCAATGGAACTTGTTTAAAAGCTGTATTTGAAAAAAACAGTTTCTTTCTTTCATTTAAGCAAAACAAAGAGAAAAGACAAAACAAAATTACTAAATTTACGAACATTTAAGAGCCATGTGTCCAGTGAGGTCTGAAAGTAAACACAAAGAAATACAATAGAAATGCTTTCACTCTTATTTAATAATTTACTTTGCAATTATTTAATGAACAAGCTGGATGAATTAAGAATTAATAGAGTAGTCTGTAGAGACAAATCTCTAAAGGACTGGAAATTTGTTTGAATGTGCTCACTTCTACTCAACTGCCCAGAATAGTGAGTTCTGACTTAGTATCAAAAGCCTATTGTCAGTGGGTCTGATACATTTTGTTGTTTTCCATTTAGATTTCCTTTTATTGCCATTGCATGTTCACCCACAATGAAAATCAGGTGCAGCACCTGAAGCAATGCTCTATATATATACACACACATAAATACACATATATATATAAAATCTACCATTCATGCATACAGCTCACTCATGCACTCTTAGCAACCATATGCAACCCTTTAAAAAATGTGTACTTCACAGGTTCAAATAAATAAGTAATAATAAATAAGATATTGCACAGTTGTGTCTAAGAGGTGGGTTGTTTCAGTGCAGAGCTCAGTGTAGTAATGACTTTGAGGTGCATTGTTTCAGTGCAGAGTTCAATGTAGTAATGGCTTTGAAGTGCACGGTTTCAGTGCAGAGTTCAGTGTGGTAATGGCTTTGGGATAAAAGCTATTCATCAGTCTTGTGGACCTGTATCTCTTCCCAGAGGGGAGAAGTTCAAACAGGTAATGTGCTGGGTGATATTGGTCCTTTATGATGCAGGATGCCTTTACCAGGCACCTGTGGATGTCTTCCAAAGTAGGCAGATCGATGTTGGTGTTTTTCTCTGCAGTTTTTATGACTCTTTGCAGAGCCTTTTTAGAAGTTGCCGTACCACACAAGTATTTCATAAGTCAGGATGCTCTCAATGGAAGAATGGTAGAAAGACACCAAAAGCTGTTGTGAAAAGCTAATTAAAGAGCTACGTTTTGTGGAGTGCTCAGCCACAGCATATACATGTGCCGCCATCCTAATTGACCAAGAATTGTCTACTTTGACAGGAAAGTGCATGACTGACATGAAAAAAGAATTAAATAAATTAATAATAATAATAATAATAATAAGAAGAAGAAGAAGAAGAATAAGGATAACAAACATACATGCATCTTCTAAACCGCTTATCCTTCTGGGTCACAGTGGGGTGCTGGAGCCTATCCCAGCTGTCATTGGGGCGGAAGGCAGGATACACCCTGGACAGGTCGCCAGTCCATCGCAGGGCAGACAGACAGACATACACAGTCACACACACACTCACACCTAGGGGCAATTTAGCACGTCCAAACAGCCTGACTGCATGTTTTTGGACTGTGGGAGGAAACCGGAGTACCCGGAGGAAACCCACGCAGACACGGGGAGAACATGCAAACTCCACACAGAAATGACCCCGGTCACCCGGCTGGGAATCGAACCCAGGCTGTGAGGTGCCGCCTCATAATAACAAACAATAAACAATAATAATTAAATGAGATTTTCTGTGAGGAACAAAATGTTATGCAGATATTTTGTATTTAGTAACTACCAAAAATCTTTTTAAACATGCAATACCATGAAATTCAGAGATCCAGTGAAGGATGCATCATTGCACACAGAGCAAGTAACTGCTTGCAAAAGTTTTCATGCCAGACAGATTAAACCCTCTGCACTAAAGTGTATATGCACTGACATGCAGATAGCCAGAATGCTCAGAATGAGACAATTCTAATAGTTTGTGGCCATCTTAACATGCAGTGGTAACCAGATGCTCTGCATTTGTGGGTCATCTGAGAGTGAAATTCATGAAGAGAGTCAGATGAAGCTCCTGATGTTCTCAGAACAATGGACTGTGGATGGAATGTGTTTGGGATTACTTGAATCGTGAGAAGCAGAAAACGCAATAAACATTTATGACTGAACTTAACCTTGTGTGGAAAAATATTTCTGCAAATTTCTTTGAAAAACTTAAAACAAGTATTCTGAAAAGGGTAGAAAGATGGAAATACAGAAAAAAAAATATTATTAATAGTTACTGAGCCTTCTATGAAATTCTTTTACAAATATGTTTTCTTCTTTTTTTTTCTTAATGCAGAAAAATGAATAGCTTGTACTTAATGGCTAATTTAATATAAATGAATGATGGTTTCTGACTTTTGAAATGCTCCTCCAAAAAGCAAACAAGGTCTCAGCATTTTTAATCTTCTTCAAGCCTTTTGGAAAAGCATCCCAGTTCTCTCCTCTTGAGAACTCTTAAGATTAAGCATGTACAAAAAGCTGCACCAATGCAACGAGGGGCTACTCTGAAGAATCTAAAGTAGAGAATAGATTGAATAATTTCCTGCTTGCCTTATTTCCTAACTTCGATTCACTGCCATTCTGAAGAATAAAAATAGTAACAATAAGAAAACCCTTCATGAGTAGCTGTGTTCCAACTACATGTCATTATTATAGGGTGACTTCTGAAAATTCCACCTCAATTAATTTTCCAATACAATACTTGTCAGTTGAACTCAGATATCTAACATGAGGGCAGATCTCAGCATTTCCACTTTAGTTCTCTCATCTGCCTTCACACTGTGATTTGTGAGTTCAGTTGACAACTGGTGTGTTGGAAAACTAATTATCCAGCCAAAGGCCAGTCAAAACCCTTTTCCATCCATTTGCATTATAACAAAAACAGTAGAATGGGGGAAATTGAAATCTTCTGCTCAGGTCACTTCCTCACCCATTGATTTCATAGTATTAGAAAATTTGTAGTAGTTAAATCTTACGATTTAAGAGTAGTGCACTATAAAGAACCCAGATAGAATTATGTAATTGAGACAAAATGTATTTTAGATCTAAACAAAAAAAATACATGGAATTTGGAGATTTTGGATAGAAAATTGCGAAAAGGCACTTTTGAGTTCTGTGCAAGCCTGATTTCAGAGGGCGGGGTGCATTTTATTTGCATAACATCACCAAAAGCCACTTACATTGACAGAATTTCTGTAAACTTCTGTAAACACAGTTATTTGGCAATAACTGTGTTAATGCAATTAGATTTAATTTGTTGACAGCACAAAGTACAGGTGTGAACAGGGTCCAGTGTGTATCAGATACACATACCTATTCATATACACATAAACACAGCGTAAGACGTTTAAGAAGAATGATGTAGGAAATGTGTGCGGTACCTTACACACAGTCATACTGACCAATGAGAGTTTCATTTTAACAGAAGGTGCCCCCCTGCTTCCTCTCCCCCCAGTGCACAGCACTGACAGCCATGTAATTTCTTTTAAGCAGTGTCAAACACACACACACACACACACACACACACACACACACACACACACATACACACACGCAGGCTTTGTATAGAAACATGGAACATTCTGCCTGTGAAGTGTCATAATTACACACTTTACCTCATAATGCTCTGTAGCCCCCGCTACACACTCATATCTCCCCTTCTCTCTCTCTCTCTCTCTCTCTCTCTCTCTCTGTCTCTCTTTCTCTGTCTCTCTCTCTTTCTCCACCTCAGCTAATCGAGCTAATGGCTTTTGCTCTAACAGCCTGAATGAGCTTTCTAACAGCTTCCAAATCCCATTACTTACCACAGAGAGAACACAG